ATGTGTATAAAGAACGTTAGTTATAATGAAGTCTGCACATCCCACAAAGGTAGTGATTTGCGGTGGCATAGTCATAGGAGTGAAAAATGCTACATTGCCCTGCGCAAATTCCGGCAAGACAGGCGGATGCCCCTTCAACTCTAGCCAGAGTTAGCTTCGCTTTTTAGCGCTTGTTGGTCGAGGACCTCAATCAGGGTCGGCCCTGGTGGTGTGCAGGGTGTCCAACCGCACAGTGCCCAAAAAATTGGAAGGACCCAATTTTTTTAGTAGTATACTAGTACCTCCGTCCCGGCGTCCCGCTATGATTGTCCCATTTTACCTTATCGGTTCGTCCCATTAAGATTGTCTCATACCAAATTTGGTAAAGTTTGTGTGGCTCTAAATCATTCTTACTTTATTCTTACTTTATCAGTTCAATATCAACCACATAAACCACTTTTTATTAATTTGTGTGTCACTCTCTCTTGTCCCAATGTTAGCGGGACGAAGGGAGTAGTATTACTTAGGTGGACTCGGGCAAGACTTTGAAGCAGACCTGGTTCGTCACTTCGCGTATTACTCATCTGCAAAGGAGGAGCGTGTATATAGGAACGAAGGAGTAGTAAATCCTCCGTTTCCACCGGTGTGGGAATCTTAAGCTTTAGAAACAAAAAAGAAAAGAAGCGTGACATGCGGGATTTGAACCCAGGTGCAAATGAAAGCATGGACGCTGATTTCTAAACATCAATCTCCGGACCAAATCAACTAATTGTTGAAATACAGACGTACAAGTTTTATATTACCTATTTGTTCTACAAAATAAATAATTAAAATATATCTTAATAAAAATCGGTTCGGTTCTATTTGAACCGATTTTATAACTCAAAAAAACTTTATTAAACTGATTTATGTTCGAATCCCGACTTTCGGGTCCCATTTGAGTCGGTGCGGTTTCGGCTCGATTTTTTTAACTTGTGTTGAAACTTTGAAAAGAAGGCTCAATTATTTTTTTTGCACAGACCATTCATTTCCTCAGGACCGGCCCTGACCTCAATGAAACGTCGTCCATAAGATGCATGCTGGGATGAAGCCGTTGCAGCTGCTGGGAAATAAAATAAAATAAAATAAAATAAAAGAGAAGAATAAAGGATTTGAATATATCTCTCAAATTAGAAAGAATTACAAAAATGTGAAGATGAATAATTTGAGGCGATCAGGCGAATAGCTTGACATTGATCCGTTATAGCGTGATTCATGGAAAAGCTTTTTATGCCTTTCTAATGCTTCGGATCTAGAGTTTTCATTAAAAGCAATTTTGTGTAAGTACATAGATTTACTTTTTGCTCTTAAAAAAGAAAGACATCCCATTTCTGAGGGACCCCCAACTCCGACTGGATAATACGTTGGGAGAATATAAATTGAATTATAATCATAATTTGATAGATACAGAGTGGTGCTCTGTTCTCGGTACTTGCAGAGACCCTATGCATTTTTAGCATAGTAACCACTCATCGCAGTTGTCGAGATTCGAGCCCGGGACCTAACCCTTGCGACACTCCCTTGCTACCAGTTGAGCTACGCAGGGGCGGATCTGGCATAGGTCCAGGGAGGGCCTAGGCCCAGCCTAAAAAAATAGTATAATATATATATATATATATATATATATATATATATATATATATATATATATATAATATTTTATATTATATTATATATGCGCTGTGAAAAAATGGTATAATAAACAGTAACGTCATTGTGTAAACAAAAGCTATGTTGGCAAGATGGTAGTAGCCTGATTGAGCAATTTGAGTATTAGGCTTTTGAATACTAGCATGCAAAAATTTATTAGTCTAGTTAATTGGGCTTTATTAGTCTGAAAAACCCGTTAGGCTTTTGAACCAAGTCCTGGAGCCTGCTATTTTTAGTTTTTTTCCCAAACAATCTCTTCTTCCCTTACATAAATCTTAAAGTCTAAGTCTTAGGCTTTTGAATACTAGCATGCAAAAATTAATTAGTCCAGTTAATTGGGCTTTATTAGTCTGAAAAATTCGTTAGGCTTTTGAATACTAGCATGCAAAAATTAATTAGTTCTAATTGGGCTTTATTAGTCTGAACAAACCCGTTAGTTCAATTGATTGAGCTTTTTGAATATTGTTCTAAAAATTAATTAGTTAAATTCATTGAGCTTTTGAATGTTGATCTGAAAAATTAATTAGTTGAATACATTGGGTTTGGTAGGTGAAAATATTTTTTTTTACACAGAGTACAAAATTTAGAGTTAAAAAAATCGGTTTATCTGGTTTTTGAGAAACTGACCTAAAAAATCGGTTTATCTGGGTAACCGATAAAACTTCGGTTCGATATCTATGACTTTTAAGATAATTGTATTGTATTGTCGGTTCGATAATATTTACTTTTTTCTTTGACATTTCTATAATACTAGTATTATTTTACCACATTTTGACATTTTTTGTAATATATGTTATTTACTCCCCCCCGTCCCATATTTATCTCATGAAATACAAATGGCACACAGATTAAGATAGTGGAAAATGTGTGGTGAAGAGTTGTGCAGAGGAAAGAGAAATGTGTAAGAATGTGTAAGAATGATTGTGAACCACAAATTCTTTACTAAAAAAAGAAATAGAAGATAAATTTGGGATAGACCAAAAATAAAACTATGAAGATAATTCCGGGACGGAGGGAGTAATTAAATTTTGGCCCCACCTTAACGTAAATGATAGATCCATCCCTCGATCTACGCCCACGGGTTACATTTTGCTCTTATCGAACACGTGATGATATGTATCTGCGCACTCCATCATTGCTGTAGTAGCAAATTGCATCGGAGTATTGGTGTAATGGTGTTGTACTGTGTAATTTTTTTCGTCCGTTCCTGAAGAATATTCGAGTTGTAACGCGACGGACTGTACACTGTACTCGCTGCAGAGCATTATTGAGGGCAAAGCATACGGAGGTCAGATTCTGAAATGTGTTACCGATTCAAAGTTAGTGGTGACATCACATCTTTGCTCGATGTGAGGCATATCTATTATTCTTATTTCTCACCTAATTTAAGGAGTGCAAAGTCCATTCGAACGGAGGTAATACAAAAATGTAAAGATGACACCCCATCTCTGAGGATCCTCAACCCCGATCGGACGATACGTTGTGAGGATGTAAGTTGGACTATAATCTCAATATGAGAATGAGGTTCTTCCCCGGTAAGTTGAATTTTGATCACACGGAGTGATAAAAAGAAAATGTAGTTGTATTTCAAATCTTTGTATGAAGTTCACATACTCCCTCCGTCCCTTAAAACTTTGCCAAGTTTGACCGGCACGGAGATTAATAAAGTTAAAACTGTGTGGTAGATATTTGTGCAGAGGAGGGAGAATTAACTGAAACCACAAATTCTTTACTTAAAAGGGAAAGTGACAAAGTTAGTGGGACATCCAAAAAAGGAAAGTTAGCAAAGTTATAAGGGACGGAGGGAGTATTTCTTAAAAAACACGTCATGTTGTGTGACAACTTATTTTTTGATATTGTGAAAGGGGAAATTCCCGCAATAAAAGTAAAAACGTTTCGTCATTCGCAAATAGTACTGTCATGTTTTTATTTCTAAATAGGAGTAATTAGTGTCAAGTTTGAAAAACACTGTCATGTTTAAAGTCTGATACTGCCAAAAAATAGCAGTAAGTACTCCTATTATGCAATAAAAACACGACAATCCTGCTTTGAAATACACAAACTCATTTAGTCTTATTTAGGGTAATTTCCCATTGTGCTAATTTTTTCATTTTTAGTTCTGAATTTTTTATCGATTCATGTGATATCATGTATCGATTCATGTTAGCCGACCCCAATATCTTTTGGGACTAAGCCTTGGATGTTGTTGTTGTAGTTCTGAATTTTTTAAAATATACTCCTTCCGTCTCGTTGGAATGTTCCCGGTTTGACCTACACACATATTAAGGAAATAAACTTACCAGGGGGTAAATTTTACGGTTTAACACTGTTTCGACACTATTTGGCACTGTTTCGACACTGTTTGACACTGCTTTGCACTGTTTGACCCTGTTTTGATGTAGGATAACTTTCCATTTAGGGAAATGAGAACTCTCCAACGGGATATCCAAAAAAGGAAAGCGGGAACATTCCAACGGGACGGAGGGAGTATTTCAAATTATATAACTTTTTATGATTCTTCCATTGATGCCAATATTACATATAGTAATTTAAAAAAATGGTCTTAACTATCTATTTTTAGTTTAATCTTTTTTAAATTTTCTTATATGGAGTATGAAGTATCTAATATTGTTAACATTGAAAAAATCATAAAATTATAACGATTGCAAAAAATGAGTTATTGTGAACCATGGCATTTCAAAATGTGAACAAAATAAATCTCCATTGAAAGAGTGACGGATTTCATTAATTATAAAATTCTTTCCCAAATTGTAGACCATCAAGTGTGTCAAAGGCATACATAAAAAAGTGTACATCAAGCACGCCTCCAAAGTTTATTTGTAGCAAAGTCAAATTTTATCTGCCTTTAAATTTTTTAGAGGACTATTTCCAAACATTGTAGATTCCTAATCATTGGCAACATTTGGTAAATAAGAGTTTTGGGACGCGATCATTTTTTTTAAAAATTTACTTGCATTTTGTTTGCGCAAATTATGAACTACACACGGGTTAGCCATACATCCGTAATTTGTGTAATTTTTTACAAGTTTCAGCTCATTATTATAGATCCATTTGAACTCTCTGCACCCATGCATGTGGTTTCCTACGTGTGCATGCATGCATTTTATATCTCTAGGAGTCCTTTATTTTATTAATAATTTTGGTTATTATTGATCGATTTGATAATGTATACGGCTAAACATGTATTGTATCGACATTATCTCTTTATTATAGTCGAACATGTAGCATTTGTATAGCTGTAGAAGTCTATCAGTTTAGTTACGTAGACCGGCACCTAATTGTATATATACGAATGTATCCATTCTCTCGATCAACGAAATACACACATTATTTTGCATAAGATTTTTCATGGTATCAGAGCAGGTTTTCTGACTCTTGAGCCTGTGAACGACGAGAACCTTGAACGTGAGTTTTTCTACGGAACATTTTTTCTGAAGCTATGACGAACGGAAGTGACAACAGTCACAATGAACCGGTGAGGAGGAGGATTAATGATCCGTCCTCTCCTTACTACATGACGGGTTCAAATTTTCCCGGACTGAATATTTGCGGAATGATGCTCAGGGGCGAGAACAATTATCACGAGTGGGCTGTTGCGACGAAAAATGGTTTCCGAGCCCTTGCAAATGCCGTGACAGAAAAAGACGAGGAAGGCAGCAGTGTTCAGAAAGAAGACGGCCGGGTTCCAGGCTTTACAGACGAGCAGTGGCAAGGCCTCATTAAGTTTCTGGAGAAGAGTAAGATATCCGCACCCACTGAAAAATTGACGGGTAAGGATTCTAATATTAGATGGCTTCTGGATTCCGGTGCATCGTATCATATGACAGGTTGTGCGCAATTGTTGATGCATAAAGAAACATTGCCACCCGTGGCAGTGATATTACCTAACGGGGATATTACCCACGCAACTAGTATGGGAGATGTGAAATTAAGTTCACTTGTTAAACTTAAGAAGGTTTTGTTGATGCCTGGATTAAAATGCAACCTTATTTCCATAGCCCGTTTGATCGATGACCAGAAATGTGATGTATATTTTACTAATCAGTTATGTGTGATACAGGACCTGCCTACAAAGATGCTGATTGGAGCAGGTAGACGACAAGGCAGAGTATATTATTTTCACAGTTTTGATCAAGTAGCGGCGCACCAAATACGGAAACAAGACTCAAGGGATTTGTGGCACTCCCGGTTAAGACACCCATCATCAAAAGTGTTATGTTATGTTTTGAGTTTAAATAAAATTGAGTTTGTAGATGAGTTGAATAAAACTTGTGATGCATGTTTAAGAGGGAAGCAGACTGGTGATGTTTTTCAAATTAGTAATGCAAAAACAGTTGAACCTTTTGAATGAGTGCATTGTGATGTGTGGGGTCCTTATAGGATACCGTCTTCGTGTGGTGCTCACTATTTTTTGACCGTTGTTGATGATTTTTCACGGGCAGTTTGGGTGCTTTTGATGAAATCCAAAGATGAAGTGACAAACATTTTTAAACACTTCTGTGCCATGACCAAGCGTCAATTTGATAAAAATGTGAAGGTGGTGAGAAGTGATAATGGAACAGAATTTTTGAAGTTGAAAAATTATTTTCTTGACAATGGTATAATTCACCAGACATGTTGTGTGTATACTCCGCAACAAAATGGAAGGGTGGAAAAGAAACACAGACATATTTTGGAAATGGCACGCACCCTACGGTTTCATGCCAATCTACCTATCGATTTTTGGGGCGAGTGTGTTTTAGCTGCTGGTTATTTAATTAATCGGCTGCCTACTTCATTACTTGCGCACAAAAGTCCCTACGAGATGTTGTATAAGAAAGCACCAGTTTATAATCACTTAAGGGTTTTTGGGTGTTTATCTTATGCTCATTCAACAAATTTACATGATAAATTTGGATCGAGGAGTGTACGGTGTGTTTTTCTTGGGTATGCTCATTCTCAAAAGGGGTGGAAAATGTATGATTTAGACTTTTTTTTTTATCCCGGAAGGCAAACCACCAAAATCAGTGGGGTATATGCCAGGAGTCATATACCAGAATTGCATAAATGAAACAGAAATACAAAAGGAAGGGGACTAGGCCAAAACTTCCTAACTGAACAAACATGTCTAAAAACGAAAAGAAGGAATACCAAAAAAATCCATCCAATAGGCCCGTTTTGCATGGACCGGTAGTAAATTGGGCCTGTCATAAAAAATTATCTGATCGAAATGGGCCGCTGCAATGTGGTGGGCTGCCCAATTACATTCCCGGAAGGCGTGGGAGAAGCCAACCTGTTTCCTATTCGCCCTGTGTACGGTTTCCTGAATCTCCTTCTTCCATCTCCTCGTCTCCCTACCCGAAATATACTCCAGAGCAACCTTACAATCAGATTCAACAATGAAATCCGAAAAGCCCCTGTGTATCATCCACTGCGTAGCTAGAACGATAGCCCTGAGTTTTGCCTCTAATGCTGAGTTCGCACTGATAGGGAATCCCACAGCTAGGATCATCGCGCCGTTCTTATCACGTAAAATGGCCCCTCCGTGGGCTTTATCAGATAAGTAGCTAGCATCCACATTTAGTTTCTTCCTACGATGTTTTTGCCATTTCAAAACCTGTATAATATTCCGATTAAGCTTGAAATTTCTAGGGATAATGTGCTCATCGAGTAAAATACTCTCAACCTTCCGAATCTTTTTCTTTGGTAAAATTTGAACTCAACTGTGTATGTATAACTTGATTTGGTAGATAATATGTTCTGATGTGTGTGCGGCATCTCCTGAGCCCCAAATCAAATTTGAGTAAGTTTTCCACAGAAACCAACATATAGTACCAAAGATGTTTTGTGCAATAACACCAACCAGACTTGTAGTACTTGATTTAGGCCTCCAATATTTAAAGGAAATGTATTCCTGGCCAGTAGGAATATAAATTCCCAGAGTAGCAATAAAATATTGCCAAACCCCTTTAGCAATAATGCATTGGAAGAAAAGATGGTTCAGGGAGTCACTTTGTCTTCTGCAGAGAGGACAAATAGAAGGGTTCAAAACCATATTGAACCTCCCTAGAGTGTCTGCAGTAGGGATTATGCCCTTGACTATCTTCCATTGAATCAGTTTAACTTTCATCTCCTGTATATTATCCCAAATGTGTTGATAGATAGAATGATTGAATGCTAATTCTCTTACCTCTTCAAAAGCAGATTTGAAAGAAAATTGACCATCCTGCTCTTCATCCCAGGTTAAGCAACCATTGTCATCACAGGATACCAGTGTTGAGGCCAGATCATGAGCACTGCATATCCTTCTCCAAATATTGGAATCACTCACCTTAGGTACCATATTATCTCCTCTACTGTATTTAGATTTGATAAATTTAGCCCAAAGACTATCTCCAGTCTTCCATTTCCACCACAGCTTAAGAGTGAAGGCCTTCTCAATGTCTGTGAGTGATCTAATCCCCAGACCTCCTTCCATAGTTGGTAAACATAGTTTACCAACAATCAACATTTTGTTTCTCGTGACGTGCATTTTGTGGAAACTCGATTTCCATATAAAGAAAAGCAAAGCTCCTATGAAGATATGGTACAAACACCCATACCTAAGATGGGTCAACATACGGATGAAGAGGCAGAACATACAACGTGGGATATGAGTGTGGCTATCAACACTCCTAGTGCTGGTACAACACATGCTGGACCTAGGGAGGAGAGTTCGATGGAAGACTTGTGTGCATGCATACACGAACAAGCAGCGGATGAAGTGCATGCAACGGATGAAACACATCCGAATGAGAGTGTGGATGGAGATAATGGCATTGTTCAAGTGACACGTCGAGGAGCACGTGCAAGCCAGAAACCCTTGTGGCATTCTGATTATGAAGTGCAGTTGAACACCGTGAAAATTAATACCCCGCCCGTCGCTTTGTCTTCTCCTTCAGTTTCCTCTGGTAAGCCTTATCCTCTATCTGATTATGTAACTTATAATTGTTTTTCGGTCCCGCATCGTGCTTTTCTTACAGCTATATCAACTGTTAAAGAGCCGAAAAATTATCATGAGGCAGTCCGTGACCCTAACTGGCGAGAGGCGATGCAACGGGAGATTGATGCGCTAGAGCGCAATGGATCTTGGAAAGTGCAGAAGCTACAAGTGGGAAAAAAAACCTATATTCTGTAAATGGGTATTTAAAATCAAATACAAAAGCGATGGAAGTATTAACAGATGTAAGGCTCGTTTGGTGGTTTGCGGAAATAGACAAGTGCAATGCATTGATTATCATGAAACATTCGCTCCTGTAGCAAAGATGGTGACGGTACGAACCATTATGGCAGTAACAGCTTGTTGCTGATGGGAGCTACACCAGATGGATGTGGACAATGCCTTTTTGCACGAGGACTTGGAAGAAGAAAATTACATGCACCCACCCCCTGGTTATTCTGCTTCTCCAGGGCATGTGTGTAAACTTCTTCGATCTCTTTATGGACTCCGACAGGCGCCACGCTGTTGGTTTTCTAAACTAACGTCTGCTTTGCGCTCTTATGGTTTTAGTCAGTCTCTTGCTGGTTATTCTCTATTTACTTTACGTCGGGCTGACAAAATACTTTGTGTTTTGGTTTATGTGGATGTCCTTCTTATTACAGGAAATTGTCATGACATGATCGTTCACTTCAAACTTTTTCTAGCCTCTTTCTTTCCTATCAAGGATTTGGGTACGATGAAATATTTTCTGGGAATCGAGGTGGCCAGGAATCCCAGTGGAATATTCTTGTGTCAACGTAAGTATGTGTTGGATATATTAGCTGAAACCGGTTTAAGTGCAACCAAACCGGTAGCGTTTCCTATGGTGAAGAATCACTCCTTACAACATGACACAGGGCCATTTTTTCTGATCCTGAAAGGTACCGGAGACTTGTTGGGAAGCTAATTTATCTGACTCTCACACGGCCAGATATTAGTTATTCTGTACATATATTATCTCAATTTATGCAAGAACCACGTGTGGAACATTGGGAAGCTGTGATACGGGTTTTAAAATATCTCAAAGGGCATCCTGGACAGGGTATTCTTCTCCGGAGTGACTCCTCTCTAACTTTAGAGAGATATTGTGATTCCGATTGGGCCAGCTGTCCTCTCACATGGTGATCCACTTCTGGATATTTTGTCATGCTGGGCAGGTCTCCTATCTCATGGCGCACAAAGAAACAACACATTGTCTCTCGGTCCTCAGCTGAAGCTGAGTATCGCTCTATGGCTTCTTTGACTTGTGAATTGATCTGGCTAAAGAGCTTACTTTCTTCATTGGGCGTTACCTTGGCCCGACCTATCCCACTATTTTGTGACAATCAGACCGATCTACAAATTGCTTCAAATCCGGTTTTTCATGAGCGGACCAAGCATATTGAAATTGATTGTCATTTCTTACGCGATCATGTCCATGATGGTACCATTACTCCTATTCATCGTTCCACCACTGAGCAACTGGCTGATCTTTTTACAAAGGCTCTAGGAGCACATCAGTTTAATTATCTGCTTTCCAAGATGGGCATTCGAGATCTCCATGCTCCATCTTGAGGGGGGTGTTCGGTACCTTCACACTGTTAGGAATATTTTATGGTGCCCAATCTAATTAAATATCTTTGTATTTGTGTAGTTATTAATTAAACGTGTAATACGGGCCACAAATGTGTATCAGCCCGGGGGCTTCCTTGTAACCCGTAAGTTAGCTAACTTCTCCTATAAAAGGAGGCTAACTTACGGGAACCCTAACGAACAATTGAGGCTTTAGAGAATAGAGGCGCAGAGATAGAGAGATTAGGGTTGACGCTGCTCTCCTTCTCTAGGTAGAGCAGCGGCCAATTTACACGGTATACCAGATTCGGTTTTTCATCTCATAATCTTCTATCTGCTTCTTCTTAACTTCTATGGTTGCTTGATTGTTTAGTATTTTGGGACTATCAATTGGTATCAGAGCCGAGGCGTGAAATAGGTTGAATGTATCTGCGATTTTTCTGATCTTACGAAGAACTGCTCTACTTTTCTTCATATTTTCTTCAGTATAGATTTTGCTCGTGTAATCTTGTTTGTGAACGAAAATCTGTAAAAATTATACTGTTGGAATCGCCTTTCAAAACCGATCCAGCAGCATATCCTCTTTTTCGATTTCTGCAAATTTTCATTTTTCATAGAACTCTACATGAATTGCGAGTTTATGCTTTTACACTGCTGCAGAAACGTTTTTGACTTGAAACAGATACAGGAGGGATCGCGACCTTCAGAGCTATTCAGAACAGTTTTCAGATTCTCAAAATTCGATGTTTTCATATTCTCGAGAGTTTTCAAAATCGAGAGTTTTTAACTCGCAGTCATGAACTC